AGATGCAAGAACATTCTCCACCCCTCCGTCTGAAAGTCTATGCAGAAAAGAAAAAAAAATCAGGAATTATTGGATCATAAAGAAAAAGAGCAAAAAAGGATCATGATTCTGTAGGATAGTAATTTAAAGCCTGGAAAAGGGGAGAACTGGTCTAGTCTCTCCTTCCAGAACTGTTTTTTGTATTTTTCCTATTAACTCTTTAATGTTACTGTGTAAGAAATCCTCAAGCGAGGACTAGACCTTAGGAGATCATGGTTCAAGCATGGGCATTGGGGATGATCCTGGAGCAACGCAAAGTCCACTGGTGACCTTCAGAGGCAGTGCAGGGCCCCTGGGCCCAATTTCAGCACAGCTAAGCAGAGGCAGTGCAGGGTCCTGATCCAAACATGGGGGCAGGCAGAGATGGCATGGAGTCCCAGGGCCTGATCCTGGTGCATGGAGCCTAGGTGAAGCTGCAATCTGTGCGTGTGGGCCTGGCAGAGATAGCGCAGCAGCTGATCTTGGTATGGGGGCTCAATCCAGACTGTGGACCAGCCCCTTGCCCTTCATCTGGGCCACAGAGCCAAATGTTTCAGCACCACTGCTTTATCCCTCAGACTCTTTCTGAGGTCTGGCATAGGGTATGTTGGCATGCTGTCACTGAGCAGGAAAACCACAACTGCCTTGTCAAGAAATCCACTTAAGAGAGATTTACTGATTAAGACTCTGGCAGGATAGCCTGTGTTTCCCTCCAGATCACTGGAAAAACATATCCTCAGGAATTTTTTCTACATGCCAGTCCACCCTTGTGAGAAGGAAGAAAGGTCAAAACTTCTTTTGACAAATTTGAATGTTGGCTACAGTGACCCATCTGAAAAAACTGAATGAGCAAAGCTGTTCGAAGAGTTGTGGAATTCAGGAGTGGTCCTGAACAACTGGAAGAGGGCTAACATGGTAGCTATCTTTAGGAAAGGGAAGAGGGATGACCCTGCAAATCACAGATGGGTCAGTCTAACTTCAGTCCTGGGAAACATTTTTGAAAAAATTGTTAAGGAGGCCATCAATTTCAAGGTCATAACTGGTGGGGTATTAAGAGGCAACCAGCACAGATTTGTTGAGGGTAAGTCATGCCTGACAAACCTGGTGTCTTTTTATGACCCTGTAACTAACCAGCTGGACAAGGGACATGAAGTTGATATCATCTACTTAGTAGGCCTGTGCGAGTAGGCAGCTATTCGATCTGGCTTCAGATCTGGCCGCTTCAGATGTCAGCTATCTGATCCAGAGCTTCGGATCAGTTTCCCGCTTCGATCCGGCTGAAGTGGCTCCGAAGCTTCAGAGCCACCTCAGAGATCCGGCCATAGGGTATAATGGGGAAGCAATGAAATATCTATAACTTTGGGGTTTTTTTGTCTGATTTAGGTGAAACTTGCAGGGATGGTAGCCCCTGGTGAGGCCACAAAGCCTGCCAAGTTTCAAGAAGATAGGTGGAGGGGTTTGGGGGGAACTGCACCTCAAGCTGCTGACAGGCAAAACTCATGACATAGATGACCCCACGTGTGTTAAGGCACAGCGGGCTGAAAGCTGCAGGGGTGATGGCCTCTGCTGAGGCCATGAAGCCTGCCATCTGTGTCTGTGTCTCACTGGGGGAGTCTGGCTTCTGGGGCCCTGCACCTCTGGCTGCTAACAGGCAAAACTTGTGATGTGGGTGAGTGACACTGTGTGTGTGTTAAGGTGCGCCCTTCCTGGTGCTGGGGTCTCTGCACAACATGGCAGTGTGCCCCACTGAGGCCTCCTACTGCCCTACAGCTTCAGGGCCAGTC